TTGGATCACAGGGTGTAGCCACTGCCCCATTAAGCTCCCTTTTTATCACTCCCCAAGATGAGAAGATTAAACAAATCCAGCGAAGGTCCCCTAACGGTATCCAAACTAGGTATAAGAAAAGGATGGGACTGGGTGTTAAAAGAACAGATAAGGATGATGAGGAAGAAGAGGAAGAAGAACTTGATGAATTAGACACACAGCAGACATATCCTTTTCTGACTGTAGGATATCAATTAATTTTGAAACCTTTAACTCCAGGAGAATTGAAGGACATAATTAAGGGAGCTCCAAATCCTAGAACAAATCCCTCTGCATGTATTATGTATTTGAAGAGAATGTGCCAAGGACAAAATATGACACAGATTAACATAAAGTTAATTATTGATGGATTATTAGATTATGACTCAGAATCTGGGTGGGAATGGAGTAGGGTGCCCACTGTGAGTGTCCCACTTGATGGAACCACAGTGAGTACTTATCCATTGGCCACGGAAAAAGGGAGAGACAATATGTGGTGAAAATGAAAACAGAGATGATAAGATTGTGGAAAGACAAGCAGTCTATCTCCACTGCTTTGTCCTGTAAACAGGGCACAAAGGAGACAGTGACAGATAAAAGGTTTTATAAATGTTGGAAAGATGAAGCTGGACTTGATTCAGAGGAGAGTGGTATGGGTTCTTTAAAAATACAGACTTGCATTGAGAATATGCTTCTAGCATATTCACTGCTAGTTAAACAGCTGATTTCAGAGTGGTCAACTTTAACTCCAGTTAAATTCTTGCAGAAAATACACGAGAGAGAAGCAGCAGGTTGTTTTGCTATAGGTAAAGATGGAAAGAGTGTGTTGTATCAGTCACAGGGTTTACAGCATTGTGACCTTAATCAGGCAAGACAGAGAGGTTTTGGAGGTGATAGGAGATTAAACCAAAGAGGATTCAGGAGCCCAAGGGGAAGAGGACGTGGAGGAAATAGGTCGCAACCATTTATTAATAGAGGGACACACTGTTTTAACTGTAGACGGCAGGAACACTGGAGGAATGAGTGCCCAAACCCTATCAGACCACAGACTGGACAAACCCCAGGTTACCAGGGTCCCTCACAGATACCCCAGCAGTCCCACTACCCCCCACAGCATCGCTCTCCTGGCCCTAATACTCCCTCTGGCCCTAATACTTCCTCTGGCCCTAATACTCCCTCTGGCCCTACCCATCACATTCAATGGCCATAGGGCTGCCCAGAAGGTAACACTCCAGCTTTTCCTGTATTATCCTCTAACTTTATGGAACAACCCTTTATAGTCCTCAATGTGAATGGGAGGGACATGCCCTTTATTGTAGACACGGGTGCTACCTGTTCCACCATATGTATGGATGTATATAGAGGTTCAAGGGAAAAGTCGACACCTTCTGTGGGAATAAATGGAGTGTTAACAAAAACCTTCAAAACTATCCCTTTGGAAATTAAATTACCCCACTCCTCTATTTCTCTACGCCACCAGTTTAGCCTAATCCCAGGGTGCCCTGTTAGTCTCCTAGGGAGGGATCTCCTTGGACTACTGGGTACAACTGTGGATTTTTCCCCTGAGGGTGGTAAGGCAGTTTCCCTTACTGCCCCATCCTCTGGAATTTTTCTACAGATGGACATGGATGAGGTCCCTGCTTCTGTATGGGCTTCATCCAAGCTAGATGTAGGATACATAAATTGTACCCCTTATAAAGCAAAACTACGCCCAAATATTAAACAGTATAAACAGTCATAGGAAAAGAAGGATGGGATCAGACCTATGATCCAGTCCTTCCTTCAGCAGGGTATACTAAGGCCTGTAGTCTCTTCCTATAACTCCCCCATTAACCCGGTCCCTAAGGCTACCAAGGACAACAGATTTGTTCAAGACCTTAGGGCCATTAATAATCTAATTATCCCAATAGCCCCCATTGTCCCTTATGTTAACACTCTGATAACAGCCATTCATCATGAAGCTAAGTATTTTACAC